TTTTCAACGCTCTGCTATAAACCGATGTATGGGTAATGGAGAAAACTTCACTATCAGAGGTGAGTGTCTTAATGAAATATTACGTTTTTACTGTTTAATTTGTGTTAATAGTGAGAAAATGTGTAGCTCTGTGTTGGGTACTAGCTATTAAAACTTGAACTAGTAGGAGGAAAAATCCTTGCCATAAAAAGCAAATAGTTGTCAGAAGAGATATATCGTGTGAAGAACTTAACCTTCGATTAAACCATAGGTACAAGAACAAGTCTGCTTCCCAAGCGGAGTTGGGGCTTAGACGAATGGCCTTGGTCTTCCAACAGTGAAAATTATAACATTTTTTGCATTACTCTCATAACATATCCTTTCATTGTTAAGATAAAACTTGTTCAAAATGGAGGCTGAGGCGATGTTTGACTTGTTAACCCTTTTCCGTAGCGACCGTGGGTCAGAAGACCGCCATCTCACAATTCACTTTAATCCAGTATTTTGTGCTTCTACAATGATGTATAAACTGCTCGTGTCTTATTTTTGTGATAAATCAATGCGGGGTTGATGTCTTTCTCATTTGGAAGTTTCATGAAAGTGTTATTCTGTATAATTTAAAATCAGAAAAAATATGTAAAGCTTCAAGCTTTAATTTGGAACACCCATGCATTATCTAATCAACAACACTAATCATTATTTTTCTAGATAATAAGATTTTTGGTAAGGTTCCTTTAATTTTATTTGATACAGTTTCACTTGATTTGTATGATTGAACTCCAGATGAAGTCAATAGAAAAACGAATCTAGCGAGGAAGTAGTGGTCAGTAAATTGGGAGATAAAATAATGAAAACTGTATTTTTTTGTTTCTCCTCATGTTGTACTCTACGAATGTAGGAAACGAAATGCGCCAGGTAAACTGTCAACTAGAGAGAAACAATTCTTATGAGGTTGTAAGAAACAGCTTTTGGGCTCAAGATTCGAGGTTGGAATATATCCATGAGGAACATGTTTATAGAATTTCTGTTCAGTACTTTTGTACTTGAGTTGTGATGCTCAGTGGAGCAAAATATTCACTTTCAATGCGTATGCAAATAAAACAGAATGGTTGAGAATGAAGCAACGGTCGACCGGCTGAACAGGTTCCAGTCAAGTTTTCGTTTTTCAGGACATTTCCGCCGACATCACTTAATACGGACGTAATCGCACTGAAACGATGTCTCCATTACAATTTAATGCATTGAGAATTTTGGTAGTTTGGGCAACGGTGAGAACAAAAACTAAAAACAAAAATAAGGTAAATTTTAATCCAATGAAAAACTTTCATTTAGCTATGAGAGCTATAGTGCTTTTTGGGTGTGTTTTGGTTTGCATATCTCATTGCGATAATGCAGATCAGAGAAATCGAACTATAGGAAGAAAGATATTTTATGACCGTTAAGTGCTAATGTTTTAATAACAACGTAATGAAGTAAGCAACGTAATGAAGTGCAGATGAGGAGACTAAATAATTTTCCATGAGAATAACGATGTTTGTAATCAGTGCTTTTAGAGCGTTAATATAAAAATAAATGGACTGCGTCGCAATCATTTTCGTAATGAAAAACGTCCCTGAATGTTTATTCAAAGTTAAACATTGTTCGTTCTTTATTATTCTCAGAATAAATCATAGTTTTGTAATTCGCGGATTGTGTAAAAAGTTAATTCTCCAGGTTTTGTTGAAAAAAGTCCACCTAAATTAGATGCTATGCCGGTCAAAATCGCTGTGTACATTGGGAAAGAGATTTCTCTGTTATTGCAATTATAACAAGGGAAAACTACCGGTTCTTCGACAGCACATACTTTATCGCGTTATTTTTAATTTTGCAACGTATCATTAACTTAAAACAATTTTTGAGAAATTCTTGCTTTAACATTGCTTTTATTGCACGCAAAATTACGTGAAAACATTAAAATAATTATTACCCATAATTTTATTTAAAGACATTTGAAATTTGATTTATAAATTTTCGAAGAATATATTTTATTACCAAAGAGATTTACTTAAACATTCTAGTTGTAGGTCCACCAACAACAACCTTTTTGGGATTTTCATAATTTCTGAGATTTATCGAATACCGGATCTGTGCCATTTGTATAAGCGTCCTGTACAGCGTTTGCGGAACAATGTTTAAAGAGAAAGACTTCGCAGCCATTTTGAGAAAATTTGAGAAAACGTCGTTGGGGTTTCATGTACAATACTAAAAAATACAAGGGGCCGCCATTTTAAAAAAAATAATACAGGGGGCCGCCATTTATCTAGGTTAATTATTTTTTGTCGGTTTCAAGTACCCACTGTATGAGTTTCCTGTCAGAAATGGTAATTTTTTCCACAGAATTTCATAACTTTACCGTACGTAAATCGTATTCAAGAAACCAAAACTTACTCCGGAAGAAAAAAGTCATGAAATTTTTTTTAAATGCATACTGTATTCAAAATTTGCAGATCAAAATAGGTAAATATGAGTTATAGATGCCAGCAACATTATGCTTGGGAAGGCAATTTTACGAAGTTATTGTTTTCTTTAGCAGAATTGATTTTACTATACCTCAAAAGAAATGTATTATTCGATTTATGTAATACAACGTAACCATTGATAATAAAATATATATGTTGGTAAATAGTATTTCTCTTCCTCTCAGTTAAATTTAGCTTAATCAGTTTACCAATGAAAATATTTGTTCAGTATTCCGCTTCCGTTTAGGAAAGATCGTCGAGGCTTTTACTAAAAATCAATGGCAACGCTTATCTTGCCATTGAACCCCGTGCCCCTTTGACCTCATTTGACCAAAGGGTTTTGATAAGTAGCTGTGCGTAGAAACACGTATTTTGCCAATCCCCAAATGCCCGTCTTCTTACGGCGCACTTAGGAATGTCTTGAAAGACTTTTCGTACGGATTTTTTGACCAGCAGAGCAATATTTCTTCTGAAGGAACTTTCCAACAATATTTCAACTATATGTTTAGAGGTTATGGGCTAGATAATATCAATGTGTTCTTTTTGATATTTAATGTATAAAAAATACCAATAACTTCGATGCTCATTTTATCCCAACGAAGTATTTTTTATTGAATTATTTCTTGTTTAATATCCGGGTTGAATAGAGAACATTGTATTTTTTGTTCAAATGTTTTATAAATTTATATTTGATATTATATAATCTAGGGGGAACACTAAAAGAACGAACTTAAAAGGAGAAACCACAGTGATATTATGATTGTTTGACCCGGAAGGAACGAAAGGATGATAAACCCACAAAAACTACCCAAAACTATGACGTAACTCCAAAACAAAAACTTTACATTTAGAGCAAATAATAAAACTATTTTTTGTAATCGCAACTATACTGCTCTCATTTTTTAAAAAAATCAGTGAGCAGGGGTGATTATCTGTTTCTGAACATACTGACAAACAATAACTTTCACCTAAGTACTACTTTTGACTCAATTTTGCAATTGCTTTACTATTGCTTCTAAAACGAATTATCATTATTATAGGTTAAATGAAAAAAGGGTGAATTTTGATAAATAATGGTATGGTTTTGATTGGAAACGCTTCCTTGTAAAATGATACACAGTTACAATATAAAACAAAATTTTGTCAATGCTTTCTAATTTTTCAATGTATATTTTGTTGTCAACTACTAAGAGTAAATAGAATCTCCTGAAATTTTCAAAAAATTCAGCCAACACTTTTAAATTGGGAAAAGACCAATAAGTAATATTGAGCAACTTAAAAAGATGAAGATTACTAGTTTTATTGGAGTCAGGCTAACGGGGCTTTGTCAGTAGGAGCAAAAGGAAATTAAATCTTGTTTGCCGACGTTTCGAAAAATATATTTCCATCTTCAGGTCTATATAAGTGAGTACATTCACAGAGAGTATTAGTTTTGTTTCATAATTTCTTGAATGAACGAAATTTGTTGAAAAAAAACACAAAAAATTATTATTGTGCTTGGCATTTAAAGCAAAACTAAGTTTAAAACATACATGTACAGAATAATTAGACGTGATGGAAACGTTTCATATTAATATTGTGGATAGGGAACTAATTACTTATAAAAAAGGGAACTAATTACTTATAAAAAGAGAACTAATTACTTATAAAAAGAGAACTAATTACTTATAAAAAGGGAACTAATTACTTATAAAAAAGGGAACTAATTAATTATAAAAAGGGAACTAATTACTTATAAAAATGGAATTACTTATAAAAAAGGGAACTAATTACTTATAAAAAAGGGAACTAATTCCTTGTAAAAAGGAAACTAATTACTTGTAAATAGGGTACTAATTACTAGAAAATAGGGAACTACAATTTAATTTTACGCTTAAATATCAAATTGACTTGATCTCACAGCACGGTACCAATATTCTCATTGCCGTAAGAAGCAGAATAACTTCACTCACTTCTCGGAAATTCGACGTGCCTTTGTTTCTTCCGCGCTAACACTAGCTTGCCATGCCTTCTTCACTTCTATCTATGACTAACATATTTAGCCTGCGGCTGCCTACCTCCGTAGATGACACCAAAGCGTATCTAGTATTTTTATAATTTGATCAAGCATAGGCACTCCTTAATTCCTCCGCGTCGTGTCAAAAACAAATACAATATTTTAACTATTGTTGATCATTAATATGTCAACTTCCATCGAATCAAGAGACTTTTTTCTTCAATAAATGTGTCGTATCACACCTCGAAAGTGATCGCCATGAACCGTCCCTGGAAAAAGAGAAACTTGAGTACTATGTCACATTAATTAGCAAACAGAGTAGCACCCTTTCCCCCACCAATGTCTATTTATTTCATGAAAGGACATGTGAAGAAGCTGAAAATAAATAAAAGCAGATGAGAAACCCATCACCTGAAATAAGGTTCGAGTGCCCCAATAGCTAGAGATTGAATGAGAATGGTAACTAAATGTTAGTTAAATGACAATGTTTTTCTGTGTGTACTATAAGCGGTGTTTGGTGTGTGCAGGGAAGTGACAGTGTTCGCCAACCTGACGGTGCACGACAACGACACCGCCTCTTTCAGCGCGAACCGCACCCTGGAGTTCCTGCCGCACCTGAGCGTCGGGGACCCCAAGGACTATGTCGTAACGGTGCCCAACTTGCCTCTGCTGGTGAGAACACAACTCTGCTCCATTCGCAACTGCGCTGCACCGGCTAGGATGACTCGGTGAAACATCTGTTGCCTCTGCAGCGACTCTGTCCGCGAGGTCTTGGGTTCGAGTTCAGGTGTGGTGGGTTTTCAACCCTAGTTACATAGCTAGGTCGAATTCCATCACAAGATGGAATGAAGGAGGATTCTAGCGACCGACTGATATGAGCCGTAGTTATTTTTATTTCTCCACTCCAAATACAATCCATCCTACCAAATAGACAACGAACCACGCATGTTCTTTCCTTCCTGATTATTGTCGTATCTTCATTGCTTACTTGCACGCATACACTTACACTGACATGCACAACACTACCACACATGTCGGGAGACCAGTCGGGACCGTAGAACTGGTCCCTGCTGGGGGATGCTCCGCGGCGGGGGGGGATTCATGGAGAGGGAAATCATCCGATGTGAAGGTTCACGCCGGATCTCACGTTCAAGTGAAGAAGGACTTCCAGGGATTTAACATGCTCTACACCTGAAGAGACCAAAGACACCTACAAACACATTTACGCGCCATGTCGATGAACCCTTCGGGAACGTGAGTTTATTCGCGCTCAGACGGTATCCCGTTGGGGGAAGGGGAGAAACTTGAGGAGGAAAATCTGAAAGTTGACGTGTGGATCGGCACGTTTCAGTAAGTACCGCCCCCCTCTAGCTATAGCACGTACTACGCGTACGGGGCTAGTATCCAAAACAATTTGTGCGCCCGGAACATGAAATAATGAAATACTCACTCTCTCACTCGCACTCTTTCATTTATTCACTTTCCCACTCACTCTGGCACTTATCTCTCACAAACTTACTTACCATCTCGCTCATTAATTTGCTCTCTCACTCACTCACTTATTCAATCGCTCATCCACTCGCTCACTTACAAACTCAATGACATGGGTATTCAATAGCTTTGATGTTCGAAACCTACAGAAAAAACACTCTAACTGAATTTTAGGTAAATACAGAAGGCCTATATCCTACAAATTCTAAGCCGGGAATCTACTGGGATATATTGAATAAAATAATTTGCTACAAAATAATGATTAGTTGAAAAATTGTGGAATTATTTACTTCATCCTCATTATTTCTTTAATTATTGTTACGTACAGAAAATAAAAACAAAATTCAAATCAAGAATAGTTAATTCAGCACATGTATACAACATTATTCAACAATCCCCGTAATAAATGAGCTCGCCTGTGACGAAAGAGTTGACTAACGAACTTTCGCACTTTCCTTTGGCAGTAGATCCATGCTCTCCCCTCTAGCACTCGCATCTCGGTCACCGGAAGTCAGCCCACTCTATTCCCGTACGTGCCGGAAGTCCCTAGTTCCAACCGGCTCTTGCGGCCTCCTTTTATGCCCGTAGCGACGTTACGCCCGTGCTGCCGGTGGCTGTCTTCACCAAGGCGGTGAGAGACTAAAGGGCGTTCTGCTGTGACTTGTCGTTATAGAAGCAATCTTTTACTCGTGATTATGGTGGCCACAGATTTTAAGTCAACAGTGAAAAATTAACTGATAATGTGTGGACTGTTTAGTATATTGTCTCTATTGTGATTGACCTTTTTTAGCCTTGACACTGACAATATATTTTTAAGATTATTATTTTTCTTTTCTTTTCAAATTAGTTAAATTGTTCGAATTTGATATAAAGTAGTGACTTTATGTTAATTTTCTGACTTTAAATTAAAGGCTAAACTGATAATGTTTTGTCGTTTTTTTTACCAAGGTGCATATTTATTACATACTTTATTATATAGCCTGATTCTGAAAAGAGGATTTGTAATAGTTATTTATGCACCACGTTATAAGGGTTGTTACAATCGAACGACGTCAAAAAAACAGGGCCTTTGTTACGAAGGCTTTTTGTCGGATGAGATCATTACAACCTGTTACGTGTCCCATGGTACATGCGGAATTGTATTTTTTACCCAATTTTAATAGTATAATTAAGAATAGAAATTTTGAGGGATTTAAAATTGAAATTAAACGAAAAGGATTGTTAGATATTCAGATTTACTTATTTATCAACTAGATGTTAGCTTGACTCGGTTTTTTCAATTCTCTCCCATCATTCCCCCTCATGATTTCCTCTATAAGAGAACATGTGGCATCATTCAACTTTTTTATTATTTCCCTCATAACCACGATCCTCTGGATCTAGGTAAGTAATGCAGCGTTCATCGAGCTCTGCATCGAACACAATACAAGCAAATGGTATCAATAAAAAATAAACTTGCTTCCTCTGCATGTTTCAAAACCAATTCTTGACCTGCGGTCGGGAAACGGAAATTGCGACACAAAATGTAAATAAAAAAGTTGTTTCCGTTTACACGCTTGAGATGCGAACTTCTCAGTGTATATTCCTCCAACTGTGACCGAATAAATATTTGTAAACAGCATAACTCTTCATTCCTTCTAAGAAAATGAAGGAACTTTAAGGTCTCTCAGAAAATGTTCTTGAAAATTGTACTGTTGCTCCACTCACTTTGTTCCAAGGAAATACAATTTCCATATGTTTTTAAGGAGAACAATCGACTGAAATAATCATTTTTGCACATATTATATAATGCATATATGTGTTAAGGTATGAGGCCCTTGATTTCAAACGAAACTACAATAAGTAGAAACTAAAAAGAAAAATTATTATTAAGCTCATTTTAGTGCGTAATTATTAGCATTTGAAAATGTAATAAAGTCGTCATATATTTTAACAAATTAAAAAAAACACTTGTCCGATTCAGTATTTGTAATGAATGCTCATTAAGAGGAATATTTGAAATAATTGTGTTATGATTTGTTTTGCATTCGAGAAAAATGTGTTCGCAGCACTTCGCATTCCCTGGAAATTGTTCAGTTTGAAGATTATCGAATTATATGAAGGAGAAATTGTGGTTGATTGTTTTGGTCAAACACGACTTACCTCAACCTTACTCGTATGTTGTTGACATGTTTTTTTAGAAAAAGAGGAAAACTGAGTAACTTTCACAATTGTCACATAGTTACGGATATTCAAAAGCATCAATAGCCACACTTTTGGCAAGAATTAGGCAGATACACGCATGCAAGAAGTTTTTTTCTTTTTATTGAATTGCATTAAAAATAAGTCATCTATAAAATACCCAAACAAGAAACATATTTGTGCATCTAAAATATGTTTCATTTATAGAACCCTTCTGCACAAATGCAATTAAGTGTACTGTTGTTATCTTGTATTGCATAAAATATATTTAAGGCGAAATAAATGAATTTTTCGTGTAATGGTATCAAAAAACTACTAGGGAGGACATCTGCAACCAGAAACGCACATTAGCAGAAAGGCGTGGATGTTCGAGAGAAAAGGTCTTGAGAGCGAACAGGTCGTGTGTGTGTGTGTGTGTGCGCGCGTGCAAAGGAAAGGTCGTGGGTGTGCAGAGGGTGAAGGGTTTTGGTGCTCGTAGGGTGAGGGTTGGGTGTGCGTAGGGCGAAGGGCGAGGAACAAAGAACGTGGGTGCACACAGGGTGCAAAGGGCGTGCGTGCACGCGGAGTGAAGGGCGTTGGGTGGCGTGTGCGCAGAGAGAAGGGTGTGGGTGTGCAGAGGGCGAAGGGTTTTGGTGCGCGCAGGGCGAGGGTTTGGGTGTGCGAAGGGCGAGGAGCAAAGAGCGTTGCATACAGGGCAAAGTGCGAGGGTGCACGCGGAGCGAAGAGCGTGGCGTGGCGTGTGCCCTGAGTGAAGGGCGTGGCGTGGGCGTGCGCAGGGCGCGGCTGCGATGCTGGGCGAGTCGGCGCTGGTGACCAACCTGGCGCTGCGCAGCCTGGCGCTGTTCGTGGGCGCGAGGCCGCTGCTCACCATGACGGCCGACAAGGTGCTGTGGGGCTACGACGACCCGCTCGTCTCCATGGCGCACTCCGTCGCGCCCTCTTTCGTCGACTTCAAGCGCCTCGGCCTGCTTGACCGGGTAAGCACCTCGGCCTCTCCACCTCCTCTTCTCCGTACCTCCCGCACACATGTGGTCTTTTAAAATTCGAACGGCCCGAGGAACTTCTTGAAATACTTAGTCATTAATCGGGCTGTTATATCCAAGTTGGCAGGTTCAAACCCGATCGTACCCGTGGATTTTTAAGGGCGAAAAAATCCTTCGTACGCCTTCCTTCGGAAGGTAAGTAAAGCCGGCTGTCCCGTGTTAGTAGACTTACTTGCATGTAAAAGATCCTCAGGCCTAAATGACGCCTGAGCTAAATTCAAATCGTCCGCTGTTCGTTGCCCAATAAATACCTCCTTTCTTCGCTAGTGGGTGAAAGAAGCGTAGCGAAATTTTTGTGGTCAGACGGAAGATCGGGCCTGGTGGCCCGAGTCTCAACACCTAAAATAAAGTATAAATTCAATTCAAATAAATACCTTGTGAGAAACGCCACGTTTAATTACACTTCATTAGGGCCCGCGAAATCGACATTTTGAAAACAAAAATTCGTTTTTTGAAGAAGGGTGTTAACAAACTGTTTTATTTTTATAAATTAGCACTTAATAAAGATAGCTCACAGGACATCTGCTATTTAGAGAGAATTTAAGAAATTGCCTTTGGCTCAGAAGTAAATGGCTTTTCTCAGATTCAAACCATTCTCCTGGAAAATGAGGTGTATTTAATGTGTCACTTTCTTGGGCACCGACAAATTGAAGAGCGACACTCTCTCACTGTTCATGTATATTGCACCTTTACTCTGCAGGATATAAACTACACACTGCATTAATCAGAGATAATAGATACTTCAGAGGCGGAGAGTTGCTATTAGAGATGCTCATTTCACTTGCGCTAATAAAAGAAACGGAAAAGCTTTATAACCACCGTACATGAAGTACCAACCAATTGCTGTTAACAATCTAAATGTGTTTATGTTGAAAAAAACGAATTAGGTTAGTAATCGGAAAGAAAGCTAGGTATGCGACAGAGACAACAAAACATTGATCTTCAAAATTAATACCCGTGGCAATTTTTGTTATAAAATGTAGCTAATTTGAACATGAACAATTACCAATACTGAGCCTGAAAGCGTGGGCCTTTAGTGTCGTCGCAAGGCTCAGATCTTCCTCCGTTCCCCATAGGAGGATGCGGGAAAAGTGGGGAGGCCCTACGCCCTACGTCACGTGCGTTCACCACCTCTCCGCGAGAGAAATAGGAGGAAGTAGGGAATATCACGGCATTGGGGTCATATTTTTCGCTTTTCGAAGCTTTTCGAAGAAGATAAAAAAGACAGCGTTCACTTGTTGTACATAATTGAATAAAAATGTACCATAATGGGCAAATATTGGATAATAATGAACATATTAACTACCTTAAGCACGTACGTAAAAACATTTAAGGTGGGATACGATAATTTAGAAGGAAAACTCTTCATATAAATTTCCTTTGTAGATGATGAATAGATTTTAAATGAAAATACTTATTGGAATCCACAAATCAAATTAAAATAATTCAGCATTTCTAAAGAAATTATCGAATGGGAGTTCGCTGTCTAATAAAATGTGGCGTATGACTTGTGTCCCGAGCGCATTATAACGCATCAAGCCTCTGAGCGCTCGAGTGTCTGTGCGCCCGAGCGTCTATACGCTCGAGCTTGTGCGCGCCCGACCGTCTGTACACTTGAGCGTCTGTGCGCCCGAGCCTGTGCCCTGTCTGTGCGCCCGAGCGTCTGCGCGCTCGAGCGTCTGTGCGCCCGAGCGCGTGTCGAAGCGAGTGTGCTGTGCGCAGATGTACACGGAGGTGGACGACGTGGTGGTGCGCGCCGGGCGCAACGGCGGCGTGGACCCCAAGGCGAAGGTGGCGGAGGACGTGTACTCCATCCAGACGTACCGCGGCGCCACGGGCTTCCCGCACTGGGGCCACGGCGTGCAGCCGCGCTTCGATCCGCTCACGGGCGAGGCGCTGCCCGCCCACCTGTCGTGCGACACCGTGAAGGGCTCCTACGAGGGCGTGCTCTTCCCCAGGTGAGAGGGTATTTTCTTTTTACCCCCTTTCTTTCCCCGCCTCGCCCCACCTCGCCCCACCTCGCCCCACATCGCCCCACCTCGCCCCACCTCGCCCTACCTCGCCCCACCTCACCTCCTCAATCAGGATGGCGGTATAGGACAGTAACACTACTGAACTACATAATGAGAAGAAAATAGAAAGATTAAAGGAAAAGTGTAAAAGTAGAAGGCAAGTAGATGGAGTTAGAATTAATTATGAAAGAGGAGAATGTAGGGAGGGAGAAGGGTGATAATATGAGTGTAAAGTTTTTCATATACATTAATGTAGGTTTCTAGTTGAACGCAGAAAATGATTGGTGACTAGAAGATACTTTGTAACAGAAAAACAAATAGAAGGCAGACAGATGAACAAAATAAATGCCACGTAGCAAGAAAGAAATCATCCAATTCAAAGAGTGAAAATGCGTGAAAACCTTATTATGTAATATGTAACAAATTTTCTTTCAATTAGACAGGAAAATATAGCGTTAAGGCTTTTAGACGTAGTGTAAAGAGGAGAAAAGTACAGAAGAACAGCTTGACTTCTTGAAGTGTAACAGAGTTCAGTCAGAGATGATGGCGTTCGTGGTGTTAAATAAGGTGTGAAAATGGGAATAGGATCTTCATCTTGGAATAGAAACTTGGAACTTGGAAATTACCACATAAGAATCTCAACCTACGACAAGATTCGAGCATGGGTCCTTCAGGTCAGGAAGCCAGTGCCCTACCACTGCCACCGCGTCTTCTCTTCCCTGTTAATCATTAACTTGTAATTAACTATTAAAACAATTAGTACGTAACAAGTAACACATGTAATATATTATGAAATTCGTAGCAACTCTTTTATATGTACACCAATTCCTCAACTGATATTATAATTTTTCGTATATACCTTAGACATTTTGGGTAATAAAATAGATACCGCAGTGTTTGCAACTCTTTAAAAATGTCAGAATTGGTTTTAGTCATTTTAAATTCAGTAATTGCCGACCTGGATGGCCGAAGTGGCAACAGCGCTGACTCAGAGCCTCAGTCCGAAGGGTCGCAAGTTCGAGTCCCGCCATGGGCATGGTTGTTTATCCCTTGTCTTATGTATGTGTGTTACTACGAAAGGACTTGTGATTCTGCTGATCACGTACTAAGGAGCTCGCATGATGTGTCTAGTGTCAAGGATAATATGTGTCCAAAATTGGCGTCCCCTGAAGCTGGGAAAAATCCAAGGAGGAGAGAATTTCAGTAATTGTAACCAAGATGTACCAGTTACACACTAGGAGCTCGTTTGAAATTCGACAATTCCGCACTTTCTAATGTCGCGAAACCAGAACCTCCTGTTATACAATCGTTACGAAGGTTGAGATTCCATTCAAATAAATAATGAAAGGTAGAGAAAACGAAATCATAATTAGTAATAGAGCCATTTTTATACGAACGTCGAATGAATTTGTTTCTATTTTGTGAGTGAAGTTATTGATTTTTGCTCGATCCCGATTGTAAAAAAACAGTACCTTCACCCCCTTAATATAAATATAACTAATTTGAGTGATCTCGAGTAGATCTCCTGCAGATCGCTTTCCTGGGGACCGAGCTAACAAATCGTGGTCCCAAGTGCTCACGCTGTGTGTGTGTGCGCAGGAACGTGAGGCCCGAGCAGCGCATGTACGTGTACCGCAAGCAGTTCTGCCGCTCCGCGCCCATCGTCTACCAAAACGACGGCTTCACGGAAGAGGGCTACCGCTACATGCTGTATCACGTGGACATGAACCCGCTGATCGACCCGGACGACCGAGAAAACCAGTGCTACTGCACCAGGACCTTCGGCAGCAACTCGGGCTGCATGCCCCCCGGCTTCAGCTCCATCGCGCCCTGCTTCTACA